AAAAAGCTCCAAATATATTCTCTAGGACTTCAACTGCCTTAAAATATAGACTTGCATTTATCTTGGCCACATTAACGAGATCTGTTTGACCAATACATTTATATTTATGATGACTAAGGGCAGATTATGGTTGTTAAAATTTGTCCTTGGGACATGAAAACACTCCTCTGTCATTAATACATTTTGTAATATAAACTATGATGTCAGGTCAACATAAAGGGTAAAAACGTTCCTAAAGTATGCACACATCATTTTTTAAAGCAATTGAGCCTAATGGAATAACAAAGGTCATCATAACAAACCATTACAGCCTTGGTCTTGGCAACTCTGGCCACAGAAGAACCTCCAAGAAACGATCATCATTTCTCCAATGTTATGGCATCCAGACGACAGGAATGGCTCGCAAATGAGTCATACGGGCTCAGATTCGCGGTAGCTATGTGAGCGCTGGACGATCAATTATTCATGTGTTTACAAAGAGCTTTCCTGGTTGATGTTAACCAGAGCTGCCTGCAACGAAGAGCTCTCCAGCTGTCCTCGGCCGTCCTGGGCCTCGGACTAACAAGCGGCTTTAATTGCTGGGCAGGTCATGTGGAAGGTACTCCTCCCCTAGACCCAGTAACTTCAATCTCTCTGAGACTTTATTAGGTGTAAAAATGTTAATCAGAAACAATTATGACAATAATACTTTATTTACAGTACTCCCAGTAAATTCTAAAGAGGGAGACAGAAGTTAGACTTAACTTAGTTCCCACAGGGATCCACCAGGATTGGAGACTGACCAATACCAGGTCAGGGATTGGTAGAAGGCATAACAAATGCCAGGGAAGGGGAGGGACTAGGGGTTGTGGGTTTCACAAGGAAGGTAAGAGGAAGAGCAGTCTAGAATGCTCTCTGAAGGTAAAGGGGATGACTGAGGACCAGCAAGGGTGAATGCACTAGATTGGCCAACAAATAGTCAAATGTGAGTGAACTTGACCTGCCCATCAAAACTGGCCTTGGAAGAGGCTGAATGGGAAGTCACTTCTCAGTCCTTTTTGTTACTTTACACAATCTACAGCCTGTCCAGGAAGAATAACAATATAATTAAGGCAATTCTTCTCTCTGAGCCAGGCTATAGCGCATGGGAGCAGGTGCCCCACCACCCAATTCCTCAGCTGTGTTTGGAGGGACAGCAGGGTTATCGTCAGAGCTGTGGCCCAAGCCTCTTCCTTTGAAGAGAGTGTGGTCAGAGCAGACTAAGGGATGCCTAAGGGACTTTTTTATTATCCCAATTCCAAGAACATTTGTGGTACTGAGCCAGATTCTTCCTCTTGTTTGAAATTGGGTAACTTTAGATATCATCATAATTCATTTATCCATTCAGAGAAAGTGGTTGAAGCAAACAATCTCTGTTCTTGCAGATCGCAAAGCACAGTAGTGCAGACATAGGTAGAGTCAGGGCCATAGGACCCCTGAGGTAATTCTGCTTTATATGGTGGAAGGCAACACTAGTTGAGAGGAGTTGCAATAGAAAGGAAAAGCTAGGGCCAGGTGTGGTGGCTCACACCTGTAATCCCAGCACGTTGGGAGGCCGAGGCAGGCAAATCACGAGATCAAGAGATTGAGACCATCCTGAACAACATGGTGAAACTCTGTCTCTACTAAAAATACAAAAATTAGCTAGGTGTGGTGGTGTGCACCTATAGTCCCAGTGAGAGGTGAAGCCAGCTGGACTTCCTGGGTCGAGTGGGGACTTGGAAAACTTTTCCGTCTAGCTAGAGGATTGTAAATGCACCAATCAGCACTCTGTAAAATGGAACAATCAGCACTCTGTAAAATGGACCAATCAGCGCTCTGTAAAATGCAGCAATCAGCAGGACAAATAAGGGAATAAAAGGTGGCCACCCCAGCCAGCAGTGGCAACCCATTTGGGTCCCCTTCCACGCTGTAGAAACTTTGTTCTTTCGCTCTTCACAATAAATCTTGCTGCTGCTCATTTTGGGTCCATGGCACCTTTAAGAGTTGTAACACTCACTGCGAAGGTCCACAGCTTCATTCTTGAAATCAGCGAGACCAAGAACCCACCAGAAGGAACCAACTCTGGACACACCAGCTACTTGGGAGGCTGAGGCAGGAGAATTGCTTGAACCTGGGAGGCGGAGGCTGCAGTGAGCTGAGATCGCACCACTGCACTCCAGCCTGGCAACAGAGTGAGACACTGTTAAAGAAGAGAAGAGAAGAGAAGAGAAGAGAAGAGAAGAGAAGAGAAGAGAAGAGAAGAGAAGAGAAGAGAAGAGAAGAGAAGAGAAGAGAAGGAAGGAAAGAAAGAAAGGAGAAGCTAGCAGAAGAGAAACAGGGCACCCCTCCCTGTGAATGAAGCATCCTGGAGCACTTTCATCACGGGTATTGTTGTAATTTACATCACAGGTATTGCTGTAAGAGCAAGATTAGAGAGAGTCTGGGTTCCCTTCCTTCACCCTGATCCACCCTATCCATCCAAAAATGCACGTTTAGAAAATGAACCCAAAGAAAGAGAGTACTTCCCCCAAGGCCTACAACAGGAGAGCTGGTCTAAGACACTTCTCCACACCTCCTTTAACCTATCAAGTCCCAGTTCCATCCTTTTACCCCAGCAAGAAGGACAAGGGAGAGGACAAGGGGCAGTGTCCCAAGAGAGAACTCCTTCACATGGCAGGAACTTTTAACTCCTTCAGTCTTCCCATGAGTGCACCCCTCCTGCTAATTGGGATTCCTTGGCTTGCTGGCATTCTGCCTAGAGATCAGAGGATCATTTCTCAAAAGACAGTCAAAACCAGACTTTTGGGAAGGGCAGCATTAAACACAGATGCCTTCACGAAGGTCTCCCCAGAGCCTTCTGCCTCTGAAGAGAAGGGAGGCACAAAGGACTTTCCAAACTTATTGACCCATGAAATTGTTTTTAGGAGCATCCCTAAAGGCAAACTTTCAGAATTCCATGGACCAATAAAACACTGGGAAATGAAGTGTTAGGGTGTGGTACCAGAACAAGGTCTGGTCTGAGAGCCACTCTGTCACTTTCAAGGAACTTTAATGTATCTGTTCTCCACCATCATGGGTTGGTTTAATTTGATACACTCTCAGAATGCTGGGAGCACTTGCCTGGAGTTTCAGCCTGCCATCACTGTTGGTGACAGCCTCACAAATGGTTTCCCAAAGTCTCATTTGGCTAATCTAATTTACCTAACCTCCCCCATGCACTCTTACCAAATTGGCAGACCTCCACAAGCTCATCTCTTCACCCTGCCCTGTTATCAGTAACGGGAGAAGACGAGGATGAGTATTTCTCCCTGTAGGACAACTGCCTAAATTCCATAAGCCCCCCACCAATTTCTTTCTGCCTTCGTGTGTATCAGTTGCTGCTCTGGTCTTTTGGTTGCAAGTTTCTAACATTTTCTGCAGAAGAGTCACAAAAGCAAGCCTTTAGGTAGACCCTCTCGAGCCTGGCCCACATTGTCCTTTTCAAGACCTCCAGTTCCGAGTCTGTGATTCTCTATTGCGGCTGCAACATAAGTTGCCACACAGAGAAGACGCCTACCGAGGGTGAATATTTTGGCCTGACCACAAACGTCTGTCATTCACTATTGTAAGATGTGAAAGTCTGGGATGGCCTACATTCCTGATCCTACATTTCAAGTGGAATAGTGTGCAAATGCTCAGTATCCAAAATAAATGGGACATCAGCTTTGTCTCTGGCATTAACCAACTCATTAAATATAAAATAAACACAAGTAAATGGCCTTTAAATCTCACTGACAGAAAGCTTGGCAACTACTCTGAGATTCTAGAGGTCACTGGAACTTCTCTCTTCAAACACGAATTTTCCTCACACTGTGAGGCACAGAAGAACAGGTCTGCCTCCTGTGGGTTTCGGGGTGCTCCCTTCCATGTGGGAGCTGCCCTGCAGAGCTAGCTACCCCAAGAGCCTGTCCATGGAGAATGATGGTTACTGCCTGAAGTATGGCCTTTGGCACTGATCAGCCGCGGAGAAACGGCTGTTAGTTCTTACAAGTGATTAGAAATTCAGGACTAAGGCTTTCACTTGCCACTAATTATAAATACCTAGGAAGAGCCACCAAACCTGACCTTGGGTTTCTGATTGCTCCCTACCTATTGGCTATTCCCAGAGAGCCAATATTCACATGGTTTCCTAAATCCTGTGTACACTCACTGTCCCACGGGTCCCCCGGTCCCATTAGTAATGCTACTTGCTGAACACTTTGCTTTGTCTCAATCTGTCTCAACATCAACTGGACTTGTTGGGGAAGGTGATGGCTCAGGTTCTCTGGATAAATGATGTAATTATTCACCTCATGCCAAGCATGCACAAAACAAATTGTAATAACTCTCCAACCAGAAAACAAGCACATGCACCTCTTTGCTCAGAACTTTACTTCAGAGCTCAGCTAGATTTCAGCAATTACTGACCTCTTTTATAAAATCAAAGTGAAAAATGCACTGCTTTTGGTAAAAAGCATGTTGACTTGATAGTCCTTCAAAGGTGGGTGCTTGCCTGGGAGGCTATGGGTGAGCAGCTCCATTATGCACAAGACGCAGCTGTGGTCAGGCATCAGAATTATTCGCTTTGCCCATTCACCTCAGTCAGCTTTCTTTTTTTTCCCCCTTTTTCTTTCTTAGAGATAGGGTCTCACTCTGTCACTCAGGCTGGAGTGTGGTGGTGCAATCATAGCTCACTGCAGCCTCAACCTCCCGCTCCTGGGCTCAACCAATCCTTCTGCCTCATCCTCCCAAGTAGCCATAGCCAGGACCGTAGGCATGCGCCACCACACTCAGTGCATTTTAAAAAATTTTTTGTAGAGACAAGATCCCATTATATTGTCTGGGCTGGTCTCAAGCTCCTGGGCTCAAGCCATTCTCTCACCTTGGACTTCCAAAGTGCTGGGATTATAGGCATGAGTCCCTGTGCCCAGCCTCAGTAAGCTTTCACAGTCTAACTTTGTGCCAAGACGTTAGTAAGATCGGAAACTAGTCAAAGTAGCTTCCATTTATTCACAGTTTTAAAAACATTTTTCAAGTTTAGTCAACTTCCCAATACAATCAAAGGACAAAATGGCAATAAAAAATATACTTCATCAGATCTTAGAGTTATGCAATCAGTTAAAAAAGTAGATATTGGGTTTTAAACAACTGACATACGCTTTCCTTTTCCCCCTTTAAAGGTTTTCAGTATCCATTTGAAATCACTGAATCACTTTTCTTCTCCTCCACAGACTTCAGAACTTTTTCACCCAGAACTGGAGAAGGAGCACTCAGTCATTAGCTGAGGGGAATGGCAAGGATCCAGGGGTCCTCCGTGACTACACAACCACCCTCCCGAGCACCTTTAGGAAATCCAATGCTGTCTGAGAAGCAGCGGGGCCAGATCCAGATCTATGGAAAATTAATATCTGAAGTGCTTCCTGAAGGTCACCTCAGTCTTTATGCCATTTCAAAAGCTAGCCCGGGGCTTCAGAAGAAAAGGCAAGTGACATTCCAGCCATATTTGGGGAGCTATTTAATTTTCATTGCATACCTCATGCACAGGGGTAATAACACATTCTAGGACATTCTTCTGGCCTACCCACTCTTCCTCTTTCTCTTCTTCTCTTTCCCTAATGAGTGGTAGTGACAGGATGGAAGTCTGCACTCTTGGTAGATAAATGGCAAAGCAGGAGAAAGAACTATTCCATAATCAGTTAAACAGGGAGTTTTCAGAATCCTGTCTTGTCACCTAAGTGTCTTACTGAAAGCCTACTAAGTTATCAAGACTGTATTTCTTTGCTTTGTGCACTGGGACATTGAAGCATTGAGACACGAGAAGTCTAAAAGAAGAAAAATGTGAAAATCACAAATTTAAAGAAAATGTTGAGGTCTCAGTTCTGAAACACCATGCTTCAAGTGTTGTCATTTTTGAGAACATTTTTTAAAGGCATCTAATATTCCAGGACATACAGTTCCCATTACTGGCCCAGCAGGTACACAGGGTCTCCCACTTTGATGGTCCCTGGGTTTTCCAGCACAAAATACTGCCCAAAGAGTGGTGATTTTCCATATAACTTTCGTTCTGAAGGGTCACACTGGCGATAACTGCAATAGGAAAAGATCATGATGAGTCACAGCCAAGCGGACGCAAGAGCTCAACCAGAACGTGGCTTCCATCCCACAAAGGGCCTCCACATGCACAGCTTGAGAGGGCACCATCCCGTCAAAGCTCAACAGAACAACGCCTCCTGGAATGGGGCAGTGAACAGCCTGCCCAGCAAACAACTACAGAAGCATAAGCAATGGCCACATCCCCACATCTTTTCTCTACATTCATGTTCCCCCTTTCAGCATCAAGACATTAGATACTTGGCCGGGCGCAGTGGCTCATGCCTGTAATCCCAGCACTTTGGGAGGCTGAGGCGGGCAGATCACAAGGTCAGGAGATCCTGGCTAACACAGTGAAACCCCATCTCCACTAAAACTACAAAAAATTAGCGCGGTGTGGTGGCAGGCGCCTGTGATCCCAGCTACTCAGGAGGCTGAGGCAGGAGAATGCCATGAACCCAGGAGGTGGAGCTTGCAGTGAGCCGAGATTGTGCCACTGTGCTCCAACCTGGGCGACAGAGTGAAATTCCATCTCAAAAAACAAAAAAAAAAAATTAGATACTCAATGTGTCTAGACATACTTTATCATCTTTCTTTGCCCTAGGCGTCTTTTCTCCTGTCTCCTCCATGTCTGTCACCTGAACCACTATCCTAGTCATCAGTTGGGCTGGGAGCCCATCCTTTACACCACTGTCCTCCCTTCCCACAGCCTGTCCACAGCTGACCAGTTCCAAGGTTCTTCCTGTACAACATTATTTGACTTGGCTTGCTTTTCCTCATTCCTACCATCACAATCTTACTTCCAGCATGCTCAGATTATCGTAATAACTTCTTAACCAATCTTTCTTCCTCGTTCTCTACCTGTTTTCAATTCATTGTTGACACTGCACTATATCACTGTTGTAATTGTATTCTGGTCTTATCATTCCTAGGCTCGCAAACCTTCCATGGCTCCCCAATGACTAAAGAATAACATTCCAACTATTCAGCCTGGTGTGTAGGGCTCTACCTGGCCCCAGCCTGCTTTTTCAAACCTGTTGCCCTCTGCTCCTTACTTGCACCTCTGCAGCTCTCTGCTGGATTTCACCTTGCTCTGTATTTTACTGACTCGGTGAGCCCTCTGTGATTCCTGTGGGATGCCCCTCCTCCAGGTCCCCATGCTTTACAATCATACCTGCCTCAAGGCCCAACTCAAACACCACATCTCCCGGGAAGGAAGCCCAGGTTCCCCCAGCCACGAGTAATTCCCCTCCTCAATTCTCTTTGCCCCTCCAACACTCACATGTCTTGTCCTGTAATGTCAGGGCACAAGTTTGACTCTACAAGGCAGAGTCCCTGGAGAACAAGAACTGTGATTAATGATGCCCTTGTACTGCTCATGCCCAATGCTGGGCCTCCTACGTCGCCTGTGACCCACCATTGTTTGCTGGCTGGATTAGCATGCTCACGAGTAAAACCGTCTGTCAGAGACAGTATAAATATGAATATTTTTGTCCAGCAGCAAATGAAAGAAGCCACAGGGAGAGGGCACACGAGCAGATGTGTGGCACTCACATGGCAAGATTCCCCTACCTTCCCCACTGGGAAGAAGTTAACCTTCAGTTTTTTATTTAATCTAACCCTAATTTTACATCATTTTTATATTTAAAACATTTTTAGATAAATCATTCATTTTATTCTGCCTTGCTTAAAAAAAAGTGACTGCAACAACTTGGTTCTAATGTTGTTCTTCAAATCAGAAACGGCAAAGGAGAAAACAGAGAGTCAAATCTAGAACCTCCTTCTGGAGACCCACAGCTCCTTCCCCAGACTGTAAACATCCTGTGGGCAGCATTGCGTCCACTCTGTTCTCTGTTGCATTCTCATGGCCTGGAACAGTGCCTCATACATATGCTGTAACCACTCAAAAAAAAAAATGTTGGTTGAATAATGAATGAACAAATGAATGAATGAATGAAAATGAGGAGCTGCTGATGCAGGCTTCCCTGCCTTGCCAAGAGAATTTCCTCTCTCTGTAATCAGGTTTCTGCAATGCCTTTGGACCTGACAAACCAGACATCTCTCCTAGCCCGGCTCTCCTCTGTCAGCATGCGACACCCACGACATTCTGGGATCTATGTGTCAGAGGGTGACCTCTTCAGGAACAGGCGACACATCAGCTGCTTGTATGGCTTGGGATTTCCGTGGCTGCCAAGCTCTGTAGTCTAGAGTCCAGGCTCTCATTATCTTGGGGAGAAATTGAGAGTTGGAGTTCTGTGCACCACACATGGATAGTCTATAAGGAACTTTACACATGTTATCTCTTTTAATCCTTACAAACTGCCTATGTGCGAATTTGTCTTTTCTCCATTTTACAGTTAAGTCTCAGGGGAGTAACAGACTTGCCTGAGATCACAGATCTAAGGGATCCAGCTGGGGCCAGAGCCCAGGCCTGGCTGACTTCAGAGTCTGGTGGACTCTTCCCACCCAGGATGTAACCCTGCCTGGTCATCAACATCCTCCTGAGTACAACCGCCGGCCTGAGAAGAACTGAGGGGCCTCACAATATAGTCATCTACACCAATTTCTAGCCACTTACAGTTTTCACCTATCCCTTCCTGCCAACCACACACATACACACTCACTCCCTCACCAGGTAATGAGGAGCAGAGGACCATAAAGAGCGGCTGCCCCTCCCGGCACAGCCTCCCTACACTGCACAGGTCGGGGTGAGGGAGTTGCTTTGTCAAAGTGCAGGTGTGGTCACCGGCTCACAGGTGGCGGTCCACTCCACTATCTAGGAGTAGAAGCGGGGAGAGCTATGGGAGTGGAGAAGGGGTTCTCGGCGGGCCGGCCTGCCAGGGCTTTCCTACAGCTGCCTGGTTTTGCTGCAGACTCTCACCGCCCCCTGCATCACCTCCTCCTGCCGCTGCCGCTGCTGCTGCTGCTGCTGCTGAAGCCCGCCTCCAGGCTGTGTGAAGACTCAACGAGGTCACTAGCGGCCCCTACTGGCACTAAGGGGTATTGCAAGCAGTCTATGGATTCATCTGCACACCAAGTTCAACCGACTGAAAGAAAATAGTGTTGTTTCATACATGGGTCTTCTACGATTTTTTTAATATATGACTTTTCATATATGTATTCCTGTTGGTATTAATAAATTAAAACTCATTTAAAATCTTCCTTAGTGCACTTTCTCCTTAAATGAATACGAAACATGACTATTCTAATGAGCAGGAAGCCCAAGACACTTTATTTAGCTTAAACCGAGGTCTCCATTATTTACAAGGTGCAATGTAAATGGAAACAGTTTGTTACCTTTAAAGTGCTGTGCACCACAGAGGGCTGCTCCTTGTTTACACTGCCTGGTTTACTCATACACTGGTCAACGTCCAGGCCATGACTCCAGGCAGAGTCTCTGGTCACTGCTCAATCCCACCACTGGTGTTCATGGGACCATAAGTCACCAGGGGCAGAAGCCATTCCTGAGGCCTCATGACTGCCTATCTCTACGGCCAGGTTAAGAATTAAACAGCATTGTTAATCCCAACACTTTGGGAAGCCAAGGCAGACACGTCAGCTGAGGTCAGGACTTTGAGACCAGCCTGGTCAACATGGTGAAACCCTGTCTCTACTAAAAATACAAAAATTAGCCAGGCATAGTGGCGCATGCCTGTAATCCCAGCTACTTGGGAGGCCAAGGCATGAGAATTGCTTGAACCCTGGAGGCGGAGGTTGCAGGGAGCCGAGATTACTCCACTGCACTCCAGCCTGGGTGACAGAGTGAGACTCTGTCTCAAAAAATAAGTAAATAAATAAATAAAATAAAATAAAATAAAATAACTAGCATCGTGAACGTTCCCAGGAGAGGTGCCACACTGAACTTACAGAGGCTGGCTGTTGGGCAAGTTCGTGTTCGGTTTCATTTAAAGCAGCCTCTGAGTATAGGAAGAAGTGTGGTCAAGCTTCTCCTCCTCTCAGAAAGTGTCAAGTTTATAAATGGAGACTCTCAATGAACGCAGCTTACATGGTCATTGTGCACAGTATTCTATCACCTATAAAAATCCTATATCTTGCATTATTCCAGTCTACCAGAAGAGGTATTACAAGTCCAGTTTATACCAATAAGGAAACTGTGACTTGAAGAGCCTAAGCAACTTGCCAGTGTCACACAATTAGGAGGTGACAGAGCCAGGCAGGTGGAGGGTCTGTCTCCTCCCTTGGAGTTACCACTGCTATATCTTCTGTGTTTTGCTCAGCAGAGCACAGCCTGACACAAGTGGCTGCTGGCAAATGTCATTGCAGTCACAGTATTCGTGCATCCAGCAAAATCTTTTTTTTCTTTTGAGTCCCCATGCAGTAATTGTGCTATATTCTTTCCATTAGGGGCAAGATGTCATGGAAGCAACAATGGCAGACTCCAGCCATTCCTTCAACCATGGGGATTAGTGTGTACATCACTTTCCCTTAAGAAAGAAAAGAAAAATTCCATTTTCCTGTTTTCCTGTTAGCAGACAGGCCTCCACTGTGCCGCCCACTGTGAGCATTTTACAGACAAAGGCTCCCCTATGCCTCTGTATTTCTTTTTCTCGCACTGCTGTGCCATCCCGGGCTCTGCCTGTGGGTGACTAACATCAGGAGGCAGGGCTGGGCAGGCAGAGAGGTCTCCCAGCTGAGCGCTTGCATTCCAGAAGCAACCCCAGCCATGGGACCATGAGTACCCAGAAGCAGAAAGCGGTGTGGCTCTGAGCAACCTGCCCAACAGCGGAGAGGCTGTGGACACCACTGTTTGCTTCCCTTCCCATGATTTATGCGATGCGGCCAGGCCTTTCTCTTCCCGATTTATGACCACCTGTCTTGGGAAGAACATAAATTAAACATCCATGGCAATTTAAATCTCAGTAAGAGATAGGAGAAGACACCTAGGCTGGCCGCACTGTCTCCTGGGGTATTAGAAGCAATTAGGGCTGGATTGTTGGGCTGCACAAAGCCTGCAGAAGATCAGGGGGGTGTGCTGGCTCCTTACGCCCCCCCGCCTTCCCACCCTTACTCTGTGTTTAGGGTCAATTATCCTCCTTCTATAAACACAGGCTCCCAATGGAGGAAGGGGGGCCCTGAAGATGCAGAGAACAAGCCCAAACACGTGAAGTGCTTTGCGGAGGCCGTTTCTGCAAGAGCATAAACCTTCTAAATCCAGAGGGAAGGATGCCCCACACCGAGCAACTGGGGGGAGAGAGAGAACAAGATGGACAAAAAAGGATGACAGCTAATTCCCCAAACCACTTGGCTGATTTACACAGAACCATCTATTTCTGTCTTGCCTCCCTTATTTTATAGGGAAGAACACACAGGGCCTGAGTGGGGGTGGGGGCAGGAGCACAGCAGTTGGTGTGCTGCAGATCCTGGTCTCCTGACTCCCAGCCCAGGATCTTCCCTCTGGCCCTCCCTGCTTTCTGCCCCTAGTAGCTCCTCTGTGGCCATGGAAAACAGGAAGACTGAGTTCTGGTTTGTTCTGATGGTGAGTGTGCACATTTCACAGAATAACTATAACCCTGCTCTTCTCATCAATGTTCTGTCACACATAGTGACATTTCCCCCAAAATTTTACTATGAAAATTCTCAAACAGGCAATTGGTAAAATAATTTTACAGCAAATACCCATTTACTCACTGCTTGAATTCTGAGCTTAACACTTGACTATATATATATATATATATATATTCTTGACTATATTTATTCTTGACTATATATATATATACACACACACATATATAAAAAACACACTTGACTATATATATCTGTCATCCAAACTGGAGTGCAGTGGCACAGTCTCAGCTCACTACAACCTCCACCACTCGGGTTCAAATGATTCTCCTGCCTCAGCCTCCCGAGTAGCTGCAACTACAAGTGACCGCCACCATGCCCAGCTAAGTTTTGTATTTTTAGTAGACACAGGGTTTCACTATGTTGCCCAGCCAGGTCTCGAACTCCTGACCTCAAGTGATCCACCAGCCTCAGCCTCCCAAAGTGCTGGGATTACAGGCATGAGCCATCGTGCCTGGCCTTGACTATACTTTCTTTATCACTTATGTATCTATTCATCAATCCACTGTATTCTCTCAGGCTGGTCTGTAGCCCTCCTCTTTGAAAGTTGCTGTAAATCACACCCAACGCTGTTGGAGTCAGGTAGAGACCAGCCACTTGCTATCCACCTCAAAGATTCCTTGAGTCCCACAAACCCCCTTCTCCGTAACTCCCTCCACCCACCCTGTTTGACTTCCCTGCTGACCACTGTATCCCTGCCAGGTGGCTTAGGCCCTCAAGGCCACCTGCTAACCTTGCTGCAGCCTGGCCCACACCCTGGGACTCATCTCCTATAGGATGACAGGTGCTGGCCAGAGAAGTCAGGCCATAGCCTCATGCTCAGGAGTGAGGTGACAGCAGGGATGACACCCCTCCAGCCCAGGGCTTCAGCTTGCCCAGAGAAGGGGTCAGATCTGGGACAGTAGAATTATCAGGGAGGGATTGGGGCTGATCAAAGAAGACTGAATCGTTGGCCCCCAAAAAGGCATGAGGTTGGTGAAAAGTGGAAGGAAAGGGAGGCAGGGAGCCTCACGTTATAGAGAATGAATCCTGCTCCACAAAGGCCAGTGCAACCTCTCTGTCATGCGCTCGTTCACGATGGTTTTGATACAAGATAGTCGCGTTTCAACTGCATTCCTTCTTCAAGGTTCCCAGGGCCCTCCCTTCTACAAGTTATACCTCGGGATGCCAAGTCAGGACCAAAGCCAAAGAAGGGTCTCAGGGACTGTAGAGATGAGGCCTGACACCTGGTCTGTAACTCAGTATTCAATGTCAAAGGAACCAATAAAGAGAAGCCCCCTTAGTTCATTTTCAGTTTCAGCAATTTCCTGGGTCCCAAATTTGGCAGATAACAGCACTGAAGTGCTTGGATACTAAACTGTTATTGGTGTTGTTTTCACAAAAGTAATGCAGAGTAATTATAGAAAGTTTAGAGACTACATATAAGAATAACCCTTTTCCATAATTCTATCACTGAACCAAAACAGCATCTCCATTTTGCTTCATCTCCTTTCAGCCTTTTATCTACTCATGTGCATTTATGTTTTTTAAAAAGTAAAATCAAATAAAAATAAAAAGTAAATAGTGCTATTTTATAATCAACCTTGTAAAATCAACATGGCATCCTGACTATATATACAATTTAAAATGATTCTCGGTACTGTGCCTTTCACTTAAAATTTACCCTTAAGAAATTTTAAAGTAAACATAAAAGTAGAATAGTGCAATAAACCTCCCCATAATTATCACTCAGATTCTATTTATGAAGATTGTGACACATTTTTAAAATGTACTCATCTATCCTTTTTTCTTTTTGCTAAAATAATATATAGCATATAGCAAGTTCCAGACGTCACATCACTTCACTCCTACACACATACTTCAAGCAGCGTCTCTAAAATATATTGACATTTCTAATATAACCACAATGCCACTAGGACACCTAGTACATTTTTTGGTATCATCTAATACTCAGCCCATAATAAAATTTGTCAAAATACATAAGCAATTTTTAAACATTGATTTATTTGAATTATGATTTCTAAATGAAAGATAAAAGTATTTATTTAAGCACACATGTTGGTGCTCAAAATACCGGCGAATGTTTCCCAGATCATCTCTTTGATGGGACCCCCTTGAGCTTCAAGACTATGTGTGTGGTGTTTTCACTGCTTCCCCTTATAAACATTAAGCAACAAATATTGCTTCTGTTCCAGGCACCTAAACCCGAGGATGAGCCCCGTCTGCCCAGTCCTACCTCTTCAGTGTTTCCAGCGGCTCCTTCCTGCTCATGACGCCGGTGTCTGGGTCCACTGTGGTTAAAATGCATCTGGAGACACACACAGAACATCATAAGGGGGACAGAGCAGAGTGGCCTTATCCCCACCCCCACCCCACAGGGACAGGAAAGCACCTTACCTGGAACAAGCCATCAACCTTTTCAGTTCCACGTCACCAATAAGAAGCTCGTCCCAAGAATCCTAGGAAACAAAGCGCAAACTCCCATGAGCACCTTCAGGCCCCGCCCCTGACACGTGTGTAGAGACTTCCCAGGAGCGCCCGCACCTAATGATGTCACCCACATCAGCGATGGCAGCCTTCTGTTCTCCCCCAGCCCTGCTCTGCCAAGCCATACCCACACACCTTCGCGTTCCCTCTCTCTGGCTTTCACATGCCAGTTCATTCCCCTGAAATGAGATTTCTCTCTCCTCTCACTTGCAACTGTCGTGGAAACTCACCTCGCTCGGGGAGGCTCCCTGATGATCCCACTTGACTCCTGGTGGGGGTTGGGGTGCACAAAGTGGATGGGGTGGGTGAAAGTGGGGAGGGGGACAGAAGGGGACATTACGCATTACTTCAGCGCGTATCAGATCCCTTCGTGCCTGCCTGAAGTTATATGGCTCAAGAGCCTGAAGTCATTGAGTACGTGCATGTCTCGCCGGCCAGATACGGACACATCAGGAGCAGGGCCAGCAGCCTCATTCCTCTTTGATTTTTGCTGGAGCATTTACGAAGCACTGAAGCCAGGGGAGCTCTGCAGGCATTGCCTGTGGGCTGGGTCAGTGGAGCCTACTTTCCACGACAAACCGCATTAGTGGACCAAGGTCCTCCAATCTAGCAGCCGACATAGGTCATCCATACATGGAATTCTAAAGATCAATATTCTGTTTTTAAATGCCACAAATATTCACAAAAAGCACTCCAAGGCAGCATGTTGTGTGTTGGTTTCACTGTGCAGGCAATACTTACTGTGGGGATTTAGAGGCACAGCTCTCCAGGCTGGTCTGGTTAGAGGAAGTTTTATGGAATAGGTAAGGTAAGTGCTGGGTCTAAAAGGGCAGAGAATTTGAGAGGCACAAAAGAAGCGTAAGGGGACTCCAGGCAGAGGGGACAGCAATAAGAAGGAAGGGTGCTGAGGAGGCAAAGTTCATTTGATTATAGTCCTGACCTTCTTACCCTTGGAGAGAATTGCCCGCCACACAAGGGCGAAAGGCAAAGACCTGGAGTTAGAAAGCAAACTGCCTTGTCCTTGGTTGATGATGAGCTGAGGGACAGAGTTTCAAGCTCAGAATTTTAACTCCAATAGTGTGTGTTATTCTTGATATATATGACACCGGGGTTTTGTTCTGTCATAAATCATAAAATGCGTCTCAGGTGCATACTTTCAACAGTCCAGAAAACTGGGCACAGCGGATTAGCACAGCCACAGCCTGTCCTGTGAACATTTCTCCACAAGGAGGCACTGTGGTCACAAAAAACACATAAAAAGAGTATAAAAGGAGAAAAATAAGGGTTCCACTTAGGAAATTAAGTTCTTATTAATTAAAGAAATATTTCCAGAGCCCCTTCTATGTCGTAAAAACTACTGGGGATTGAGTCATAAGCACTGACGAGCCCAGGAAAGTCTTCCTACAGCACCTGGAGGTGACCAGTTCAAACAGGACAAGCATGGCATGGGAGAGGCTCAGAGCACACCACAGCTTCAGAGACGGGAGGGAGCTCTTTGAGGTCCTGCCATCACAGCAGGCTTCCCAGGGGAGAGGGCTTTTAATCCAGGCTTTCAGAGAATGTCAAGAGTTTTAAGTAGGGAAGGGAGTAAGAGTCTCAGTGACCAGGAGACATCAGTTTGCAGTTTGGAGCTTTCATTGGTGATATGGTTTGGTTGTGTCCCCATCCAAATCTCATCCTGAATTGTAGCTCCCATAATCTCCATATGTCATGGGAGGGATCCAGTGGGAGATAATTGAATCATGGGGGCGGGTCTTTCCAGTGCTTTCCTTGTGATAGTGAATAAATCTCACAAGATCTGATGGTTTTATAAAGGGCAGTTCCCCTGCACGCATTCTCTCGCCTGCCACCATGTGAGACATGCCTTTGCTTCTCCTTTGACTTTTGCCATGATTGTGAGGCCTCCCCAGCCATGTGGAACTGAGTCCATTAAGCCTCTCTATCTTTATAAATTACCCAGTCTCGGGTATTTCTTCATAGCAGTATGAAAATGAACTAATACAGTTGGTAATAAAGGCTGGAAAAGCGGACTGTGGCAAGGTTACAGAGGAATGTAATGATTGAGTGGGAAGTGTGGACCTTTGTGACATGGAGAACCACTAAAGGCTTCTGAGCAAGGCAGCAACACTGATGTTTTGTCACAAACTTTTAGAGAGGGAGAGATCACGCTGATCAGCTCTGGGAGGCTTGGCTGTGGCAATATTCAGGAGGGAGCACTTAGTGGTCCAAACTTAAGGTAACAAACGTTGGATCTGGCTGGTGGTTGAGAATAGAAAGGGGAGCCGATGTGGCTGGGGCTGGGAGGAACACAGCAGAGGGAGGAGCCAGGGCTGACTGTCACCCTCCCAGACTGGGTGAAAGAAAAAAACGAGCTGCCTGGATAGAAACAGCGAAGTCAACAGAAGGAGTTTGGGGACCAGGCATGGTGGCTCATGCCTGTAATCCTAGCACTTTGTGAGGCCAAGGCGGGTGGATAACCTGAGGTCAGGAGTTCGAGACCAGCCTGGCCAACATGGCAAAACTCCTTCTATATTAAAAATACAAAAATTAGCTGGGCGTGGTGGCACATGCCTGTAATCCCAGCTACTCAGGAGGCTGAGGCAGGAGAATCGCTTGAACCCAGGAGGCAGAGGTTGCAGTGAGCTGAGATCACACCACTGCACTCCGGCCTGGGTGACAGAGCAAGACTCTGTTTCAAAAAAGAAAGAAAGAATGAGTTTGGGGAGGTGGGGTGAGGGTGTAGGGGCTGGTGTGTGAGCACCTAAGTCTGAGTTTCTCTGTCAACCAACAGAGAGTTGGAACTGTGACACAGCACTCCAGAGGGGGTCCGGGTGGACGTTTGAGGGACCTACATCAGGTGACAGAGGGTGATGCTGCAGGAGAGTGTGATCACCAAGGAGGGGAGAGAAAAGGGTCAAGGCCAGAACTTTTGGAAGTAAGGAATGAGGACAAACAGCAGAGAAGTAAGGGCAGTGCAGCCAAAGGAGAAACGTTTCAGTAAGTAGTGCCCATGGGTCCTCAGGGCGGGGTGGCGGCGACTGAAAAAGTCACTGACTGTGGCAGGTGGGGTGGATGTCTCTACTGTGGCTCTGGGGAGAAATGAGGTGTAAGAAATGAGTGTGGGGAGTGCCGATGATGAAGGGAGGCAGAGAAAAGCCACAGTTGCTGAGAAGGTAGGTTCTGAGATGCGGAGTGGGTCTGCTTTCCAGAAACTTCCGTGCAGGTTCTCAGCCTTCCTCCATGCTATCCTGCTCTCTCAGCTGCACCCTGGCCCCACCTGCTCTAATCCTTCTCCAGGCTCCTGGCAGAGGCAAATATGTACCATGCAAATCAGATTCGGTCACTCTCTGGCTAAAAATTCTTCCCAGACTCCCCAAAACCTGACACCAAATACCTGTGCTCTCAGCTCCCCTCCTCTCCCGAGCCCCAGCGCTGAGAGATGACCATTCTCTCACACCTTCACCTTCATAGCCCTGTGTATGCACCCCTCCCTCAGTGCTCCCCCTTCTCCTGGACAATACTTATCCGGTCATTCATTTAACAGATAAGTAGTGTACACCTACTATGTGCCAGGGGCTCTCTTAGGGGCTGGAGATAAGGAGCTTGCATAGGGGAAACAGACAATACACTAATACCTGAGTACACACGGCTTGTTAGGTGGGGTGTGTGCTGTGGGGGGCTGGATGAGTGGGGTCAGTGAAGCCCACAGCAGGGGACTGAAAGAGGCACTGGAGTGAGCCATGAGGCCTGTGAGGGAAGGTATGCCAGGCAGAGGACCCGGCCAGGACACAGAGAAAAGGCCAGTATGGCTGGGGCAGAATGAGACAGCAGAGGGGAGTGAGAGGAGAAGCGGCTGGGAGCTGGCGGGGTGTCATGTTGGGCCTTCAAGGCCATCCATAAGGATCCCATCTTTTACTTGAAGAAAGGTAGAGAACTGTGAGAGGGCTTTGAGCAGAAGAATCACATGATGTTACTTACATCAACAGGGTTACTTTGACAGATGTGCTGAGAACAGCCCATGGATGGTGGCAGGGCTGGGTCAAGAGTGGGGCAGGAAGGCCAGTGAACCCAGGCTGTTGCAGCACCAGTGGTAACTACATCCAGGCAGGGAGGGGAGTGGGGAGGAGGGCCCGGCCATAAAGATTTGTCAACTGTAGGAACTTGGGATATGAGACAAAGAGAAGAACAAAGGGTGGTTCGCAGTTTGGGGCCTGAGCCAGCAGAAGTCAGGGCTGCTGTGTGCTGAGATGGGCGAGACTGGGCACAGCAGGCTTTAGGGTGGAAACCTGACCCTCAATTTCAGACATCCTGACATTGGATTAGACATCCACATGGAGCTATGGAGAAGTAGGGGAAAGCTCTGGCAGAAGGATATAGTTAGGAGTCCTCAGGGCAGATGAGGTTTTGAAAATGAAAGAAAGAAAGAAA